GCAGTGTAGGGAGCCTGTAAGAAAACCCAGTGAACTATCTTTGGAGATACATGGATCTATAACTCTCCAGGTCAGAAGTGGAGAGAGATTTAGGAGAATCCATATATAAGCCCTGTTGTGGGTAAGATGGCCCAAAGAGAAGAGAAGAGTCCAAGAGCTGAACTTGAGAAAATATTTAAGTGGCAGAGAAGAAATGGAGCCCTCAAGGAGACTGAGAAGGAGCAAGCTGAGATGTAGAAGCAAGACCAGGGCAACGTGAGCCTTGAAAATCAAGGGAGAGGCAAGTATCAAGAAGGCAGCGTTCAGTGATACCTTGACCGGGGCAGCTGAGCAGTCACATAATCTATGGGCAGACATTGTGCATTGGATCAAATGATCTACAGGTTGCTTCTGAATTTGGCAGGAGAAGATTTTATAGAATAGTAGGTGAAAGCTGAGTAGCAGTGGTTATAAAATGTGAGTGACACAGGGGAACCATAATAAACAGACATAGGTCTCTAGGAAACAGAGAAAGACAGTTCAGTACCTGGTGGGGAATTTGGATGAAAGGACAGTTTGAGAGAGAGATGTGGGGCAGCTTGGAAACATTTCTGCATTATAATACTGCTCCTAATACTATCTAGTAGACCCCCACAGCAGCATGGTTGGAATGAATTAATGGGACATTAGCAACTGGGAAAGTGTGATGAAGATGACAGAAGTCATCAACCACTAGAAGAAAAATGAGCTGGAGAATAAAGATTATTCTTTAAAGATTTGCTGCTGTCTCTAATTTTCATCTAATCTCCTTCCCATAGAGCTTTGGTTTTTTCTATCTGTTCTCCTTCACCTCGAAGGAGACAGTAGCACAACTATGTTAACTATCCTGTATATACATACATACAAAATTTCTCCTTCTTTCCCTTCTCTTTTTCCTTTCTCCTCTTTTCTTCTTCTTCTTTTCTTTCCGCTCTCTTCAATACCAGATAGACTTCACACTCACATCCTTCTTGTGATTAAATCTAAAAAGTGGCCTTCATTTATAGGTAAATGGTCACAACTAACAACCATACTCATAAGTGAAATAAATCAGACCTGCATGTGCAAGCACCACGTTGTTTCACTAGTGTAAAACCTGAAAGAGTTAATTTAAATTAGGAGGTATGATAGACATTGTGAAATGATAGGAAAACATTCAAGGATAAAGGGCAACTGGGATGTGGGAAAAGAGAAGGCAAAGAAGGAGAAATTTTGTATGTATGTATATACAGGATAGTTAACATAGTTGCTCTACTGTCTTCTATTTCTTTGCTGAAAGAAACTGTCCATGAGTCCTTGATTGATCAATATTACGTCTGTATCTGTTTTCATGAGAAACCACTTTGAAGATATCAATATGTAATACAACAAGCATTGTTAATTTCCTACCACTGTGTTTGTAACTCTGTATTGTCTGTACTGTTCTTTTGCTATTTTGTAAAAGGTTGTCTGTCTGTTAATGTTTTCCTCCTTTTATTTTTAAAGTAAAAAATAAATATAAAAAAATAAAAAGTGGCCTTCAAGTGGCAATAACAGCATCCAGCATTAACACACTGAAATTTCACAGAAGTCTCAAGGAATGAAGGTGTTCCCATCTGAAAGTTTGTAGCAAGGGAGAAAATTGTGAGGGTGAAGCAATTTAGGGAGGGGAAGAGGAGGGAAAGGAGAGAGGAGAGGAGAGGAGAGGAGAGGAGAAAGGGGAGAGGAGCACAGTCACAATCAAGAAGCAAGGAGAGAGGGAAAGGGAGGAAGAAGAGGAGGAAAGGGAGAGAGGATAAAGAACAGGGGGAAGAAAAATGATGGAGCGAAGACAGAGGGAGAGGTCATTTTAGACTAGAAAGGAGGACAGGATACAGCAGAGAAAAGAAAGAAAGGAAAGATGCTGAGGGAGGGAAAGAGATGAGTGATATGAGGTTAAACTAGTGTCTGAATTAAAACATTGTTAAGAACTGTTGTTTTGTTCTCAGATGTGTTTTCATCTTCTCAGCAAACATCCATGGACTGTCTGCTCTGGGTGGGCACTGGGGCTCCGCCTGGCTGAGTACATTTGCACAGCAAGGAGAGGCTGTCATGGGCATTCCCGAGGGCAGGAGGTGGGGTACAGGGGTACAGGCTGTGGCACATGTAAAACCCCAAGAGAGCATCCAACCAGCTTGTGGGGGTCCTGCCAGAGGTGAGTTGTCCTTTCATGAAGCCGAGGAATCACAGATACAGAGGGTGAGTGGCTAGGAGGGAACAGCCCTGGCCAGCGAGCCACCTGTTAGACACAGGGCAGTTACATGGTAGGTAACAAATGCCTGCAGTGTAGACAAAAGAAAGGACAACTGACGGGAATGGGAGAGTAAACAGGGACCAGAGCGAAAAGGGACCACATAAATGTAACAGTGAAGCTCACTAATTTGTATAATACGATTAGATAAATGTAACAAATTTTTAAAGGGTCTATATACCATGTTAAGGATTTGAGACTTACATGGCCAAGGTAACCATCTTTACATTTTAGAAAGATCATCCTAGAGGAAAGTAAAGATTTCAAACAAGTATTGAATTCTGGCTAATTATATGCATGCTTGAATTATTTAGAAAAATGTGTACTAATGCCTAAAATTTACTTTGAGATGCATGTAAGATTGATTAATTGCCCAGGAGGAAGGTGGCTAGTTAGCATACAACAAAGAAAGCAAAACTGTAAGAGTAAAATCAAAGTGGATGTTCACTGTAAAAGTCTGTCAACTTTCCTAACATTTGAAAATTTTCATAATAAAATACTAGAAAATTAGATCATTCTGGCTGCATGTTTTAGGAAGCAGCAAGGTGGTCATTGAGAAAGTTGTTGCAGTAACCGAGGCAAGAGCTGATCATGATGCCTACAGTAAGTAGAGGGAGAGACAGTGGTAATATTTCTGGATTTACAAAGATACTCAAAAGCCAGGTATAGTGGCATACACCTGCAGTCACAGCTACTTGGGAGGCTGAGGCAGGAGGATTACTTAAGCCCAGGAGTTTGAGGCCAACCTGGGCAACATAAGGAGACTGCCTCCCCACCTCAAAAAAAATTCAGAAGGTTAAGCAACCGTTTTAGCATGTGGGTGACATACAAGGGAGGAAAAATAAAGACCTTCTGTTTCACTGCCCTAGTTACAAACTGGTAAGCAGTGGATGGTCGCTGATTTTTGGGTGAGAAGAAGTACCCAGAAGACTAAGAAATCTGAGTCACTGATGAACCTCCAGCTGGGCTCTGACTTTAGATTCTCAAGAGATTCCTCTCATTTCCTAGTCTGTCCTTGAACACAGTTGGCTTCAGCCCTCAGGTGAGCTCACCACAAGGACAGGGGCCAAGTCATCACTGCCCAGCGTTGCCTGTGGCCCCAAACCACAGATGAGGCTGGGCTCCTCCATCCACCACCACTACCGCTCACCCCTCTTCAGAGCGTCTTGAGCACGGCTGCATTTCTTCCCCTGGCAATTGTTCTGTTTTGTTGTTTCTGCTTGAGAATGAAATTGTTTTAGATCAGCTGCTTCAAGTGACCCATCCACAGCTAGCTCTGATTTATCAGCTTGCAGTCAGGAAACAGATTTCTCTGGAAGACTCAGTCACAATAAGGCAAAATGAGCTTTGCTCAAGGGCCTCAAACAGCCTGTCCAGGGAGCAGGTGTGGCCGGCCAGCCTGAGGGCTCTAAAAGGCAGCTTCCGCATCCTCCCTCCTCCTCCACCTGCAGCTTCGAGGCCTGTAATTCCAGCTCATTTCCTACAGCTTTGTCCTAGAGACCTTTAGCAACCTCCTCCTGTTCTTCCCTCCATATGAAGGACGATTTTCTCAGCAATTACTTCTGTGATTCATTTCTGGATCCTGCCTTTGCAAGAAATGTCCACAACCATTTTAAGCTTAATATTCAACTGCAAACCTCTTACCTCTTCAAAGCTTAGAGTGTTCTGACTATTTGTGAGGATTTAGATGGAACATGACAACTTGCTTCACCCTCTTTGGTGGGTGCTTGAGTGAAGTGACCCCTGCTGGACAGAGGTCGTTACCATTTGGTGTCTGACCGTAAGGAGAGTCTCAGTTCTGCTTAAGGCAGGTCTCAAATGCTCAGTTTATATCAGTGTTCCCCAAACAAGCCAACACTCACCTTCCACATTTAACTTTAAAAAAGCAGTACAAGACTCAGTTCAGATCTAGTGGTCTCCACCTCATCTCATATGGCCTTCTGTATGATACCTAGGTTCAGACTCTAGCTCTGCCACTCCGAGCTCAGCCTCAGGTTCCCATCTAAAACAACCAACCCAGTGCCTGACCCTTGCTGGTGCTCTGTACTCAGGGGCTGTGACTACCCAGGTGTGGAAAATGACATTTTCCAACATGATGTTTCGTATGTGTTTTGTATTTTAACTGTGTGGTTGAACATCAAAGTTTATTTTCTTCAAAATGCTTTCAGTGTTTTGCTCTCACTTCCTCTATATGAAGAAAACCTCAGTAATTTCAGTTACTTCTCCTTAGAAGAAATAAGAGAAATAAGCAAACATATGGGCTCTATTTCAATGGGACAATTGTAGAGTAATATCTCACAGTCCAACAGTCCCTGTGTGCTAAGGGAGGATTTTTTTGTTTTGGTTTTGGTTGCACAGTGAAATTCTTGGGTTCCCAAGACTACACCTCATCTGTGCAGCCTGTGTGCTGCTGGGTCTCCTGTGCAGCTGGAACCCTGGGTCCTATGCATACTCAAGCACCAGGTAACTGAGCCAAGGAAGGGGCCTGCAGAGCTGCGGAAAGAATAGTGGGGGAGAGGAGGGAAAGCTCCAGAGAATAAGATCAAGAACTAAAACTCTGAGACTTAACTCTGTGTCAGTGGTCATGCCAAGTCCTGTCTGTGAACTTTTTCTTTTCCTCAGCAGTCTCATTTTAGCAGTTCCTTTGACCGAAGGAGAAACTGATGCTTAGAAATTCGAACTTCCTCAAAGTCATCCAGCTGGTGAGGCAGCACTGAGAGATGAACTCAGTAGGTGACTAAAGGACGCTGGAATTCTCACTCTGCTGAGTCTTCCTTCTCCAAGGAAGCGGACCCACTTGGACCCCACAGAAGCCTGCAGAGCCAAGGAGGCTGTTCAGCTGGAGCCACCTACAGTTCTGCCCCTGCACCTGGACCTCACAGAGACTGGTGATAAATGCCAGCTGGTGGTATTTATTCCCTTTGGTTTGGCCCCACTCGTGGCTCTGGGAGGTAGGAAGGAGCTCCTGGAGGACTCCTGCACCAAAAGTGAGTATGAAAAAGTACTAGAAGGGGCAGTATTTTCCCTCTTTTCTCCTAACACACCCGATGGTTAAAAAAAAAAAAAAGAAAGCTCAGTGGTGGTAGCCAGGCTTAGAACTGGTGCTGTGGAGAGGGAGCAGCCCCAGGTTAGACTGAAGGAGGGATTCCAGAGGCACGGGCTGAAGCCGCATCCCCAGGAGGTCTGGAACTCTAAACTCAGCTAGTCTACAAGTGTTCAGTTTTACTCTGATGGATCCAAGGGGATAGATGAGCTGTGGGCTCCTGGAGTGAAGATTGAGGAGTTTCTTTGTTAGGGATTGGTGCTTGAAGCTAGGTGCTCTGCTGGTTTTGGGGGGTTAGGAAGGTTCTCTCTTTCCATTCCTCTCATTGTCAGTACAATCCAGAACAGAATGGGAAATATAATGCTCAACAAACAGCAAGGGAAAGCCTGCCTCAGGGTTGAGCTGAGACAGGGGCTTGGGTTTAGATGTGAAGCTCTACCTGTCCTCATGTCTAGGCATGCCCAGACCTGACAGGCCATCCAAGACCCTTGTGCTCAGGTTGGGCTTGACATGACTTGAGGCTGGTGGAAGCAGAACAACCGCTTTAGGGAAAGGACTCTAGCTAAAGGGAGTGGGGTGGGAACAAGCTGTTCTGCGGAGTTATGGGCTTTGTTTGGAACCTGTGCGGGGGATGGAATTAGAGCTGACTTTAGATGCGGTAACCGTGGCCACACCATCCCATCCCATCCCACCCTGCCTTTTGGTACCATGGAGGATGTGGTTACTGAGCATTTGTTGCTGAGTCAGTATTTGGGGGTTCTCTTGGGGGCCAGGACCAAGGGCTCTGAATTCCCAGCCCAAATGCTGAGTGAGAAAGGCTGGTTCGATGAGTAGAGAAGAGCTAGGAAGAATTTCTTAGAAATACTGGAAGTATTCTTCCTGACCTCCTCCTTAGGGCTGGTATCACACGCTCTCTGCGCTGCAGTTTCTCCATCTGTGCAGTGGTTGGGGGCGGGGTGTCAGATCTCAAAGGATTATCCCACCTTCCCAATATTGTACGATGCTACCCCAGACAGAAGGTCCTGGGTACAAGCAGAGTGTGGTAACCACGTATGGGAGCCCATCTTTTCTCCTCAGGGCCTCTTATGGTGGAGGAATAGACTAGGGTCCTCTGCATCACATGAGTAGTATGTGTCTCTTTTTTGCAGCGGGCCATGGCACAGAGGTGGCAGCTCCTGCTAGGGCTGTGGACAGTTGTGACTACCCAGGCTGGGGACAAGCTGTTCAATGTCTGCATGAACGCCAGACACCACAAGAGAGAACCTGGCCCAGAAGACAAGCTCTTTCTGCAGGTACAGAGGCCAGACCAGGCCCAGGGGCTGGAGTGGGGCTTTTTTTTTTTTGGCAAATCAAGCAAGCAGCACCAATGCCAAAGTGATCTCTGGAGCACTGATCATTTGGTTCTTTAGGTGAAAAATATCCCCAAACTCCACCAATGAGCTGTTCTGGCCTTTTGAGAGGCCCAGATGATGATCCTGCTGCCCCACTGTTAGCTCAGATACAAAGAAACCTTCCTACTGATAGGCCTGGGAAACAGAATGAACTCCTTTCGAACTCCTAAACACAACTGACAAGGATATGGGAGGAGAAGCTGGCATTTAGCCTATGAGTCCTTTCACACCCCACAGCTCCAGACTCCCCCAGGTCTCACTGGGACTCCTCTGCACTTCCTTCCCCCACAAACGCCTCTGTTGCCTTTCAGGACCAAGCCCCGGAAGCTGTGTTCCTAGAGCATTGCAGCAGCCTGTGGCAGGGAGGCCACTCTGCAGGCGCTCGCTGAACCCTGGTAGAATACGGACAGATCATCGGGCTTCTCTTCCACAGGAGGGTGCTGGCCTCAGTGAGCTCAGGCTTTCTCCTAAGGAACATGTTCACTTTTGGCCTAGATACTCAGCAAGCCTGCCTCTTACTCCGCATGCCTGTTGCTTTTTCCTCCACCTTCAGTGTGTCCCTTGGAAGGATAATGCCTGCTGTACAGCCACCACAAGCTGGGAAGCTCACCGCACAGAACTGCACCTCCACAACTTCAGCTTGGTTCACTGTGGATTGTTGACCCCACGCTGTCAGAAGCACTTCATCCAGGCCACCTGCTTCTATGAGTGTTCCCCTAACCTGGGACCTTGGATCCAGCTGGTGAGAGGACAGGAGGCTGTTGTTACTAAGAGCAGGGGGCTTCAATTTAATTATATGCTGCTATCTCCAGGAGGAACTAGAAATGTTGCCCCTCATAGACAAGAGCAGAACCAGAAGCCACTCTTGGAAAAAGGGGTGAAGGGGAAACAGCATCTGGCCCTCGAGCATGGCATGGGGAGACTGGTCACATGAGAACAATAGGATTATTGCCACAGGAGGTTTAGTGGAATTAGACACACCTGAGTTTGAATTTCATCTTTTCTTACTAGCTGCATAGCCTGAGACAAACTATTTTGCCACTTGGCCTCACTGTTCTTATTTATAAAGTAATAATACATAAAGATTTTATATGGGATGATGTACACATGGTACTTGGCACAAGTACCACTGTAGCTATTAGTAGTCTTCAAATTGCTGCTGCTGATGTTCTTGTCTCTTACTATGCCTGCACTCAGGTGGACACACAGGGTCCAGAAGAACGAGTTTTGGGCATACCATTGTGCCAGGAGGACTGTGAGCAGTGGTGGGCTGACTGCAGCAGTTCTTACACTTGCAAATCCAACTGGCATGGAGGCTGGGACTGGAGTCGAGGTAAGTGATACAACAAGGCCCACGAGGAAGGCAGGTCCACTGCAGTCACCATTCTGGGTGCAGATCAACTATGCTGTACCAAGATAAATGATGGGGACTTGAGAGAGGACCACTGAGGAGTAAGCTGTCCACTGCTAACCCCACAGGGAAAAGCCGTTGCCCAGCAGGGGCCCTTTGCCGCCCTTTCCCAGATTACTTTCCCACCCCAGCCGACCTGTGTGAGAAGATCTGGAGCAACTCCTTCAAGGCAAGCCCTGAGCACAGGAACAGTGGGCAGTGTCTCCAGAAGTGGTTTGAGCCTGATCAGGACAACCCCAATGTGGCTGTATCCCACCACTTTGCCAGCGCTGCCCCAGCCTGGGAGCGCTCCTACACCCTCACGGCCTTTTGTCTGTTCCTGTGGTTCCTCTCCTCATGACCCCTTCTCCCATTCATTTTCTTGCTCCCACCATCTAAGGGCCAGGCCATGACCATCACCTTCCTTGGGGTGGGGAAGATTGAAGCCACAGTGGCTAGTCCCTGAGGCCCCTATCTCTGTGTGAGAAGCAGCTGGGGGCCAGCAGTACTACAGTGACCCACCCCTTGCCTTTACAAATGGGATCCATGTTGGGATTCCAGGAGAGTCATCTACTGGTCCTGTCCATACCTCCCCTTCCATGGCAGGGCAGGTGGTGGCAGCTTGGCCTCCCATCCTACCGTGTGCTTCCAATAAAATGATGATGGACCTGTCCTTTCTGTGTGTCACTCTGCCCCAGCCTCATCGGTACCAACCCTACATGCACAGAGAGCCAGCCTGCCTGCTACACTGAGGTCTCAGAGTTAGAATGTTCCTTAAGAATTATTAATTTCTTAGTATCTGTCACATATCCTCACAGCATCTCTGATGGGATTACTTCAATACACACCCTTGTAAGTGATTCACCATAACAAAGACCCAAAGTTGAGGGATGGGGCTACACAGACCCCTGGCTCAATTTGGAGAACAAGATTGAGGCAGCTACTAACTGCTTTCAGTGTTCCCCTTCTTCCTTTATCCCCTTTC